TAAGTATATTAAACTGTTTTCAATATTGATAATAATAAGAAAAGTTTCTTAAGCAACAGATCAAGAATGATTTCAGAAAGATCAATGACACTGAAGACTGAAGACCATCACAAGAACAAATTCCATTTTAAAATATATTAAAATGGAAAACTGTTGTTTTAAATTGTAATAATATTTCACAATGTTACTGTTTTACTGTATTTTTGACCAAATAAATGCAGCCTTGGTGAGACATTGGAGACAAGCCCAAGGGTTATCTTAGCAAATGCCCTTGAGATTCACACACACACACACAGACAGAGACTCCCTCATATCTCTGTAATTCATCTACATAAGGCCAATGGTTCTCCGCCCTGGCTTCAGGCTGCAGAGGTCTGTTAAATCCCTGAAGCCAGTTAGGGGGTGTCTAGTTTCTGTTTTGGCTGTAATTACGTTGTGAGGCTCTCTTTATAGGCTATCTGCATTTCCTGTGCATGTCCAATGTCTGTGTGCAAAATGGTACATCTCTCTGGGGTGATTGAATGGCAGTAAAGACAACTATAACACAATTGATGCCAGTGTGACAGGCATATGGACCAACAAAGGCTTTTATATATAAGGCATGTCTCGTGTTTCATTGCAAAAGATACTCTCATTCAGACTTTTTAATGGAGGCATTCACATGCAAATCACATTGAATAATTCTTAAATCGTTCTGCATAATATATACAGTATATATATATATACAGTTGTGGTCAAAATTTTACATACACTTCGCAGTATCTGCAAAATGTTCATTATTTTACCAAAATAAGAGGGATCATACAAAATGCATGTTATTTTTTATTTAGTGCTGACCTGAAGAAGATATTTCACATAAAATACATTGACATGCAGTCCACAAGAGAAAATAATTGAAGTTGAATTTATAAAAATGACCCCGTTCAAAAGTTTACATATGCTTGATTCTCAATACCGTGTTGTTAACTGGATAATCCACAGCTGTTTTTTTTGTTTGTTTGTTTTGTGATAGATGTTCATGAGTCCCTTGTTTGTACTGAACATATGATCCCTCTTATTTTGGTAAAATAATTAACATTTTGCAGATACCGCAAAGTGTATGTACAATTTTGACCACAACTGTATACACACACACACACATTTGTTATCTCTTATTCTGTGAAGCTGCATCAAATCAGTGATACAATCTGTAGTTCACAAGACCAAAGCCCTGCCCTGTGTGAGGAGACCACTAATGTGAATTTCATTTCCTTTGAGAAATAACCATAATGCCCTCTGCTGACAGCTCACCATTCAACAGCTCTCAATCTCACTGACAGCACAGGCCAGCTGGGTTTGCTCTTTTCCTGATTTAGAGGAGATAGAAACAGACAGGAGTAGGCCTCATAAATAAGACAGATACACTACAAGTGACGGAAAAGCTTTTTTTAGTAATGACTATTCTGACAACATAAACGCTTTGGAGAGAAATAGGTTATTGGATATCTGATTGGGCTCTAGGTCATACTGTTTTGACCTTTTGGTCAGGCATCACATGCTTTGAAGAGGATGGGCTTTGCTAGAAACTTGGGCAAAAGTAAGTGCATGCCTTTGTGTGTGTGTTGCTGAGGACAGAGTGCCCCAGGCAGGCCCCTGCTGCTCTTCCTCAGTCCCAACTGTGCTGTCACTTCCTGTGTACCTGGGACTAAACTCACTGCCACTGTAAAATGCAGTTTTACAGTTAAGCATAAGATAATGTGTCCCAGCCAAGCAACCCAGGGAGGATCAGAATCAGTTTCCGCTTCATCCCTTGCATTTCGCTGCATAATTTCATGCTCTCTTTCTAAATTTGGAAAGCTCTCTGCATGCTTCACTTATAAAAAAAGTATCATCCATCACAAAAGTGCCATGAAAACATCAATATATTCCTATATTCCAACACATTATGTTTTTATTTATTTATTTTTGACATCTGCTTTGGTGCTACTACACTTTTTAGACATGTAGCTGGGGTTTTGAAGTAACTATAAAATAGCACGGTAAAGGAACATGGCAATAATTTAGTACCATGGTATGTGTCAAAGTACCATAATTTTACTGTTATATGATACCAGTAATATGGAAGCCTGTTTTGCTTTATGGTAAAAAATAAAAAAGGTAATTGTGAGATGAAGTTTAAAATAAAAAATTAACACACTGTATAGTCACAATTATAAGAAACAAAGTAGCAATTATGTGATATGTTGTCACCATGTGAGATATAAATTCGCAGCTGTGAGAAAATCACATTGCAATTATGGGACATAAAGTTGCAATTATGACATATAAAGTCACACTGTGAGACATATTTGCAAATATAAGTCACATGTGAGATACTGTATAGTCAAAGTGTAAGATCTAAATTTGCAGCTACAAGTCACACCGCAATTATGGGAAATAGTCACAATTATAAGATATAAAGTCACATTGCTATTACAAGAAATAAAGATATAAAGTCACAATTATGAGAAAATGTTGCAATTATGAGATATAATGTCACATTGTGAGACATATATCTGCAAAAGTAAGAAAAAGCAATATAGTTATAGTATGAGATATAAATTTGCAGATGTGAGAAACAAAGTCACATTGTTAGATATAAAGTAGCCATTACAAGCAACAAAGTCACAATAATGAGATATAGACCTGGTTTCATAGGGATTAGGTTAAACCAGGATTAGGCAATAGGTCAATTAGGACATTTAAGTAGTTTTTATAAACGTGCCTTAGAAAAAAACATTACTGGTGAGCATCTTGAGACAAAACAAAGGCACTGACATATTTTAAGATCAGGCAGTGCAAGTTTCTTTCAGTTGAAACAGCTCAGATTTACATTTTAGTCTGGGATTAGGTTTAAGCCATGTCTGTGAAACCGGGGATAAAGTCATACTGAACTTGAGTGAACTTACCGTCTCCTGAGGGTCTTTGGCGGCGGGCCTCTGTGGAGCGGGGGTAGACACATCCTCTGTCGGCTGGTCTAGTTGGTTGCAGTCCAGCTGGACAAGCCCCTGACACTCCAAATGACATGTGTAGCTGCAGTCTGGAGGCAAGAGACAAACAGGACACACACAGTCACTAAGCGCACAGACAAACAGCACAGTTTAGAGAGCCAGTGAGGGCTGCCAACACTCTTTCAGCTCCTTTAAAAAAAGAAGGTTTTGAATATGCTGGAGGAGGACTAGGTCATGTGTTTTATTCGCTGTAAATGTCTGCGTCAGCATGAGCGCCGAAGCCTTGGAGAAAAACTAGACTGGAGCTGGTGATGATAAACTGACAATCTGCATGTTGCGGACATCTGTCTCAGATACATGCACTCCTCAAACTAGAGACAGCAAAGACGCTTCAGAATGAACAGCTCTGCAGTGACAGTGTCTCATTAGACAGAATGTCTGATGTGTCCTCCACATAAACATTAATCATGAAGAGGAATTTAGTCATGTGAGGTTGTCGCGACTCGGTTAAACAGTGCCCTGTTCAATCTCAACTAACTTGACCCCAAAACAGATGTTTATAGAAATCAGAAGACCTAGTTTCTTTTATTCAATGCCAAGTATAGCAGCTGTAACCTTTATTACAGAGATAGCAATTGTGCTTTTTATTACAGTCATATCAAGTGCATAGTTTTTGTGTGTGGTGCCATCTAGTGGATGTCTGATATAAAACACTGCACAGTTTGCACAGGAAGAAGAGTAACTTATCAAAAATTAGATGAGTGAATCTTTTTCACTTACACTTTATTATTTCTTAAGAGACGCATTTCAAAAATAAAAAAATCTAATAAATATATGCCTATATATAATATTAGACATATAATAAAATAGAATAATTTAATATAACAAAATAATAAAAATATAAAATATTTTAAAATAAAATGTATAAAAATGATCAAATAATACAAATACTTTGTTATTTGAAAAAATATAATATATAAATAGAATTCAAATATACTAAAATTTAAATGTGATAAAAAGAACTTCTAAATGCATATAATTTAAAACAAATTTAAAGCTGCAGTCCGTAAGTTTTGCCTCTTTGTCGCCATCTCTGTTTGAAAACCTGGAATTGCAGCTGTGTGTGGAATTATCTAGCTTGCGTGGGTTGTGAGTCGGCACGGCTCCAGCGCGGATGAATCTAATGTTCTGAAGAGTATGTGTGGCAGTCAGTCACCGCACTGGTGTGGATATTTACTGTACTTCGCAATCACAGATTCTAGCCTAAGTCTTGGAATATGACCCAAATAAGAATTTTCACCGTATATTGCCCGATAGCCTAGTAGCCGGGACAACTTCTTTATGTTTACAGACGTGACGTAATGACGCAGTGCCATGCTCGAATTTCCCGCGAAAACCTACCCTTACCACTTAAATTAGAAAACATTATTATAAGCTAACTGTTGTGAATCGGGCTAAAGTAAGGCGATAGTTTTGAACACTGGCTGGTTATGTGCTTGCTCAAATATTGATTTCGGATCATTTTTAACCAAACAAAGTTACGGACTGCAGCTTTAAATTTAAAATATAATTTAAAAGAAAATATAATCTTATATAATATCATATAATACATTTATACATATATATTTATATAATATAAAAATATAAAATATTCTCAATTGGGTTGCAATCAGGGTTTACATCAGTGGTCTCCAAACTCTGTCCTGGAGAGTTTAGCTCCAACCCTAATTAAACACACATGAACCAGCTAATCAAGCTCCTACTAGGCATACTAGAAACTTCCAGGCAGGTGTGTTGAGGCAAGTTGGAGCTAAACTCTGCAGGACTCTGCAGTTTGGAGACCCTTGGTTTACATGGTAACAGAGTGGGAAAAGCACACTCGCTAGATGGTGCCACTGTGCCAACGACATCAAAGGTTAACGGAGGCCAATGAAATAAGTTTATTAAAGTGCTGGAACAGACAGCTGCTGTTTAATTTGAGCCAAGAAACGTTTCATTGACACTGGGGTTCATTTTTTCCTCCCGTAATTGCCCATCCAGTCATCTTTTTCCACATATTTGCATTGGAAAGTAGAAAAAAACTGGTGCAAACTGACCTCATCATCCTAAAATTCCCATTAGCATCATAACAGAGATAATAAAATGACCTCAGACCAGCACAGAAAGTAAATTCGCGTGCTAAAAAAAAGCACTCTGAGCATGTATATTCATTGCTCACAGCCACACGGTAACCAAGCAAACGGCACTCTGAGCCACTGGATATTCTCCAGCACAGGCTAACCGTGATTTTACATGACACGGTATCCTGCAGTGTGGCTGCAGTATTATATATATTGTATAAATAGTCTGTGGCCAACAACACAATGTTCTTTAGTGATAATGGCATAGAAATGGGCTTTTGTTTTGCTTTCAATACAGTCAAATGATAACAAAGATGACTAAGGTATCTGTCTCTACACACAGAGGGAGTGTCAACAGTGAATACTGATAGATTATCAGCGGATTGATTATCAGTGCCAAACACATTGCTACTGTCATTGTGGAATGGAGATTGCAAATGCTAAAAGCCTGTACACAACACTGATAACTCGCATAGAAAATGGACGTCAGTTTCGATGGTCTGTCACCACAACACTGGCAAAATATAAATCTTCAGTGGAGCGTTGGGCGGGACTATGAGAAAGAGTGTCCAAACCAAACTGAATGACTCAGGGTCAGGAAATGCATTATGGGAGGAGGTGAGGCTTCCGTCCGTTTCTGACTCTCACCTTCAACCTCAGCCTGATATCAACAGTGTGGTTTAATGCAACACCCTGATAACTTTACGCAGCAATGACTTTTAAATGAAAAACCTGACACATGCAGCAGCAGTCAGGTGACAATAGGTCATCCTGCAAAATGGATGCCATCATGTCTCTCTCATATACATGTGTAAAAAATTACTTCACCAATAAACAGACTTTTATATTGTAGACATTTTCAAGCACATTAACAAAAATCAGATTTTTAACAGACTGGCATTTCATCATTACATCTTTTTTTACATCATCTTATTTAACAATGCATTACTAAAAGATTTAATAAATGATTAAAAATGTATGTAAAAGAAGTTGTGCATCAACCCAGTTAGTACCACTTTTCTACTTTTAATTATTACATACATTAAAAAAGTCAACGACATCATCATCTTTTCAAAAAGACAGCACTTCAAGCACAAGTTCTTTTTTATCACTTGTGAGACAATATTGTCAACCTTCTTACCATTTGATCAGCAAACAATTGATAATTAAAAAGAAACATCTGCTTTAAATTCTCTTGTAAAAGCATCTTGTTATATCATGAGATGACCCCCGTTACCATCATTCCTGTTATCTTTCTAAATGTGCAATGATACTGACATTTATTAATTTAGTTTGAGATGGTACAATGCAGTTTATTCATAATTATTTTAAGATAGAAGTTCAAAATAATACTCCCCTCCATCATCACTCCATCATCACATGTCCTTACTGCAGTGCACTCTGAACCCCCTAAACCTGATTGATCTGATGAGAGTGTCGTCAACGGCTAATCACTGACCGTCAGGTTCTGGGGTTCCATACACAAGAACTGCAAAGAGATTTAACACGTGCCCTCAGTGTAAAGAATAATACAATAAGCATGATTCACCCACAATGAACCAGACAGAATACGACTGGCAGGTACCATCATCTGCCTGGAATGTAAAACCACTCCCAAACAAGAGGTCCACAAAAATCAAATAAACTCAATAAAACGTCCACCTTTCCAGATTTAGTTAATCTGGTAATTACATTGTTTTCTATTTATACAGTAAGTATTATTTAAACCACCATTCAAAAGTCTGGAAACACAGTATTATAAAGGTTTTCTTAGCAATGGATACTAAAAATGACATCCACAAATCACAGATAAAAATGTAATTTTGAAATATATTATTTACTATAATAATATTTGTTTATTAAATTAAATAATGTATAATATTGCTGTTTTGTATTTTGATCAATTAAATGCTACATTGATGAACAGGAGAGTAAATTTCTTTGATGTTTTAGTGTTTCTACACTAAAACAGTTTTGTTTTATAATCTTTTGCTGCTGTTATGACCTCATATTGATTTTCAATGTTCTTTTTAGCAGCATCATATGACCCCTTTAAGGTTTTTTTTTAATTTTGTCGACGATAATGAACACAGGAAGAAAAATTTGCATCATGCCAATAATTAAATTAAAACAACAATAATTTAAATTAAAACATCCTTGATGGGGGGAAAAAAATCACAAGATATGAACAAGGTACTAACAATGAATTTTAAGAAGAAAATTTTTTTAAATAATAATAATAATAATAAAATAAATAAATAAACATTTTTACAATTTTAAGATGCACAGATGGAAGATGCACTGTTAATAAAAACAGGTAAACTAAAGCACAGAGACTATGGCTTGTTTGTACTTGTGATCAGTTTACAACAAGTATAAACATACATTTTGCCTTCTAAAATCTAAAGTCCTGATGTTCGGGTGGAAAAAAGTCCACGTTCAATTTGTTTGTCAAACACACTCATGTAGAGAAAAGTCTAATGAACACTTCATATATTTTCCCAGAGGCACATTAAACTGTGACCCCAGATTATTTGTTAAGCCGCAGACCCTAATGCAGAGAGCGGTCATACTCATGTTCTTGTTTAACGTAAGGGTCATTGCTATAGAAACCCCATGGATAGTAAATTGCAGCATAGTTTACATAACCTGGAAATGCTGCAGTGCTGCTATAAAACAAGAGTGCTGGAGACAGAGGAGGTCAAACTCTTGTCTTGTCACATTAAACACAATGTTTATTCGGCCATGTGTGGAATTTCCTCAGTACAAGAGGTCAAAAACGCATCTCTGGGACTGTCCCTTTAAAACATCACTACCCACTAGAACATTGTCACTTCCTCTTGGAGTTAACCACGTCTGTTGATCAGAAGAAACATTTTGGTTGTTTAGCTGGAAAAGTGTGCCAAACTCCCCTCCGATAGCTGGAATGTAAGGGGGAGTTTATAGAGGGAACGAGAACACTGATGTCT